AGATCTAGGGTCCCAAAACTCTGCTTCTTAGGGTCATGCAGTGTTTCAAGCAGGTTTCAGCCCGCTAGTCATCCCTTGGTCTTGCCAGCCTCCCTCCTGACACTGACACATGATTTTGTACTCTTTTCCTCCAGGAGTTCCGTGTTAAAAATGTGCTACTTGTTTTACCCATGGTAACATTCCTCAGCTAGCCTGAGCTCCCTTGAATACCCTTCCTCAGATATTAGGATTAGCTGACCCTCAGATCCAGTACCTCTTTCAAGGGACAGACTTCCCTGTTGTAGCATACCACTTCCAGCAAGTTCACGCAGTACCCTTAGGGAACCCCTGACATAAACTGTGTTTCACTGGGGACTGCTAGAGCAGGGAAGATAAACTCTTGCTTAAATGCCATCACTGCTGAAGTGGATGATGGCATAGTGGACAGTCTACTTTCAGGAGCGGGGTCGGCCCATCCTTGGGCCCGCACCGTTCAATTTCTTTATCAGTGATTTGGAAGATGGGGTGAAAAGCAACCTGTTCAAATTTGCTGATGATACCAAAATTTGGGGTGAGGTGGGCATGCTAGTAGGGAGAGAAAGACTGCAGAAAGACCTGGATAGGTTGCAAGGGTGGGCTAACAAAAACAGGATGCGTTTCAATACAGACAAGTGCAGGGTGCTGCACTTGGGCAGCAGTAACCAGCAGCACACTTATAAGATGGGAAACTCCCTTCTTGAGAGCACGGAGGCAGAAAGGGATCTTGGAGTCATCATTGACTCCAAGATGAACATGGGCCGACAGTGCGAGGTCACGGTTGGCAGGGCTAACCAGACCCTATCGTGCATCCACAGGTGCATCTCAAGTAGGGCCAAGGAGGTGATCCTCCCCCTCTACGTGACACTGGTCAGGCCACAGCTGGAGTACTGTGTCCAGTTCTGGACACCCCACTTCAAGAGGGATGTGGACAACTTTGAGAGGGTCCAGAGGAGGGCCACCTGCATGATCCGGGGACAGCAGGGCAGAACCTACAATGAGAGGCTATGGGACCTGAATCTGTTCAGTCTTCACAAGAGAAGGCTGAGGTGGGACCTGGTGACCGTCTATAAACTCACTAGGGGGGACCAGAAGGACTTGGGGGAGACCTTGTTTCCCCCAGCGCCCCCCGGGATAACAATTTAAGAAGCGGCTCAATGCCTACCTGGCTGGGGTCACTTGAGCCCAGTTTACCTCCTGCCCAGGCAGGGGGTTGGACTTGAAGATCTACAAGGTCCCTTCCGACCCTACTTCTATGATTCATCCTATCCTGCGGAACCTGTGGCCACAGGGGGCCCCATAGCCAAGGGGCAGTGCCCTGCTCGCCCCCCGCCCCCGCACCATATTTAAAGGGCTCAATACAGGCAGGGAACCCCTTCCTGGTCCTAGGGAGGAAACCCAGGTATCCGTAGCACATGCTGCCCCCACCCCACATCCCCTGCAGTGCAGCCTATGTGCACAGCCCAGTCCCAACTATTTTATTTCAGTGAGTTTATACTACAATTAACTGCAATCTTGATTTTTCAATGGATCAGGGAGCCCCAAAACTATATTTTGCAAGGGCCCCCCAAAATTGTGGGCTGACCCTGTTCAGAAAATACTTTTCTGCAAAAGAAAGGTAGCTTAGACCAAATCCACATAAAAAAAAGCAAGAGTGGCTTAAACAGAGTAACACAGAAACAGACATACCGCTACAGGTAATGTCTTGATCATGGCAGCTGTAGTAGTATATCTCTGTGTAAGGGTTGTCCATAATTCCTTTACATTTGGAATATCTCTTGGCCTCAGCATAGCAGCTGTCATGTGCCTGACAACACCTGGAAAATGTTCAGAATAGGTAAAATCAAGATGTGAGCTCAGATGACTTTCATTAGAACAAGCCAGCTAATACAGTTAAGTGTTTAGATAAAAAGGATCCTGGACTTAGCAAACACTGGGCACCTGCAAAAGGAAAATAGTTAAGGGCCAAAATCATAGTCAGTCACATCTGTACTGCATCCTTGAATGACACTCATCACTTACACATGCAGCCCTGACATGTAACCCACTTGAAATAAGTCTCCCGTTACCTTTTCTTGGTTGCATACTACTACAGGGCTATTACAAGAACTCTTCATATCCATTCACTCCAATTCTCCAATATAGTAACCACAGCAGAAGAGTAAAGTGAGGCAGGTGGAGCTATTTGGATGATGTCTAACTGCAGAGATGGGGCACCAAAGTGAGATACTGAATTACCCTGCATTGAATCAGTCCCTGGGAAGAAAAGTGCATGGCACCTGTAAAGAAGGACAGTGCTGCTGAAACCTCCAGAAGAGAGGGGGTTACAAAGAGAGAGTCTCACCAACCTGTCAAGTTGATCCACTGGTGTTCCACTGCCCCCCAGGCCACAGTAGCAACCGTAGTCAGTATAATCCTTCACTGGGTCACTGTCTGGTATAGTGCATTTGATCATGTTATGCAGCTGCCACACTGACCGGGGGAAGGCAGCGGCAGAAGCCGCGCCCACTAAGAAGAAACACAACCATGGAGGTTAGAGTTGCAAAGCATTTGCTAATGTCTGATACACATTTGGCTTCAACTAGCTGTCAGTCACACATCTCAAGAGCAGTGTGATCTACGTATGGGGCAGGAAGTAAATTCTGCTTCTACATGGGTGGTAAAGTTAGGCATTGTGGGTTTTTGCCCTCCAGGCATGGGGACCTGCACAGGCAGTTTCTTTAAAAAATAGTAATTCTTTTACTCAACTTTTACTTTCCACGAATTACCTGTTTCTGCGCCCATTGGTGTAGCAGGTATGGAAGGCACCTAAAAGACAGACTTGGAGCAAGAATAAACAAATGATGCAAACATACCTGATGACAGGAGAATGAACAGGATTACTTTCATTCCTTTAGCAGGGGTGTGCAAAAAGGACGCTGGGGTATCTGCTTTCCTCTCTTTATACGGCAGTCTCACCTTGACACAGAGGTGTGATAACACAGCAGTGTTTGCACTGCTAAATGCAGCCTTCTTTCATCAGAGGCTGTGGGAATCACAGATTATGTCATGGCAACTGAGGACCAGCAGTTAACTTTCCCAGTCAGCTGGCCAGCTGTATGCTATGAGGGTTTTTTCTTCAATTTCTAATTACAGTGTTGATGTGAGGTGCTAAATCAAGAGCCCCAGCAATGAGTTATATCCACAAAACAGGTACACCACAGCATGGGCAGCAGTAGGGCAAGCTCCCAAACATGAAACTCTAGGAACTGATGCTAGGCCTAGACAAGCCAGGGCATTCTTGCTGAAACTGGTAATCAGGGCAGCAGTGAACTGTGATTTCTGTATTTCATGGAACAGCCACAGGAAATATTGGTAGAAAGATGCAAACAAAAGAGAGAAGGACGATAGGCATGGGGGTTGTAGAATATAGAAGGGGATGACTGGAGGAATTAACACATTAGTTAGTGGTGGTTTAAGATTAGCAACAGTTCCAGAGCAAACTTTTAAAAAGGTCCAGTAGGACTTAACCAAGAGAAAAAAAATTAAATTATTGTCCAGTTGATCCAGGCCAACACCAACATCTTGTCAAAAGGAGTTTTGTATGGTGGGGGGTATGTAACACTGGCAGGCCTGTATTTGACCAGAATGCAGTCACCAGTGCCCTTTTCCAGATGGCCACTATCCTGGAAATTTCCATTTTATTTTTGTTAGTCAACACTATCTTGGGAATGCAAGCTTCTCTCCTTTCTACCACACACTGTGCCAGAATAATTTATTTCCCAAGCACACCATTAATCTGCACTGCACTTCCTAGTCCTCTGCCTGTGAACTCTTGGTTCTGACTAACTGGAACACCTGCATCTATTTCTCCCCAGTTGCATGTCACCAAATAGATAATAAAAGTCACAAACAGAAGGAACAATTGACAAATTGGTTCTAGTAATAAGCAGGTGGCATAGTTCCCACACACATGGCAAGGCAAACTTTGCCTGATTTAAAAAAAAAAAAAAGTGTTAAATTCAACCTTACCTGGGCCTCAGCAGTTCAGTGCTCTAAGCCTACCCAACTGCTTCCACTTCAACTAAGAGCACTATCTTTTCCTAACATGGGATGCTGAATTAGTTGCAGCATACGTGCCCACCCACCTCTCACCAGGCTACGTTCTAGATCATAATGTTAAATAAAAGTGGACTTTACACAAACAGCTCTCCAATACCCATCTCTCTACAATCTTATATTGTGCCTGGTGTCATTTCCCTTACTCTGCGGTCCTCAAAAACATCTTACTTTCTCAATTTCCTCCCTCCCCTCCCTATTAATTTAATTGAAATGTTTTGCTAATAGCCAACTATTCAATCCTCTGCAGTCTTTCTGCACCTTGTGCAATCAAGCTTATCCTGATAAATAAAAACTTGCATAGTGTATTATTTGTGCTGGTTTATTCCCTAGGACTCCATTTGCACCAATTTATAAAATCAATTCTCCCACTTCACCCCTTGTGCCCACACAGCTTCACCAGAGCTAGCAAGCCACAGTGGGAGATTGTCCAAAAATAATGTTATCCCTGTTCACAGTAGATCAAGTCAACCTGATGCTCAGCCAACTAGTAACCAGTCCACACAGTGCTCCCACCATTACAAATGTTGATGGAGCTGTGGTGCTTAAGGAACAGTGGAAGAACAGCCTAAAACTCTCAGGCTAGAAAAGATAAAACCTGCTCACATTTCCAATGTTAGGCTCAAGACCAACACTAGTTTACTGATGGCTATTGTCAGAATTATATTTTCTTCAAAGTACTTTTAGAAAGCTTGAGTCCCACATTCTCTCTGATTTTAGAAATTCATTGGTATCTTCTGCTCCGCAGGACTCCTTCACATTGGATCACAAACCATTAGACCCTGAGGTACAGGTTATCCAAAGCATCCACTTAAAACAAATTCACCCAGTCCTCTCCTTTATAATCCTGATTTAGAACAGATTTAAAACAATTCAGTACCTCAGCTATTTTAGAATCATCACTGATTTCACCTTATCCTCTAGTATTTTCACCTTTGTTGTACAGACCTTGTCTATGTTGGTTTAGTCAGCAGAGCACCTTCCCTTGCCTTTTTTTGCCTGTAAAACACCCAGCTGGGGGTCCTCTCCTAGCCACTTAATTTCCAGATTTAGCAAGTGTTGCCAAAGAATAGTCCTATTCGTGCATCTTCTCTTTTGTCACACATACCAGTGTGCCAAGTACAGTTCACGTCCCTTAGTGTTTGTCTTGTGACTGCAAGAGAGTTATGCAACATGGGAAAGTGAGCAAATGAGCATTAGAAGAGAGCTGCATGAGGAGGAATAGAAGGGTATGTTTCATTTCATCAAGGCTGCTAGATGACAGCTCTAGCTTTAAGAGATGACAGCCTCTTTATGCCAAAGCCTCCCACCTTGATGCTCAGCTGTAACAACAAAGCATTATTTACATTATTAAATGCAGACTCCATCAGGACTCCTGGGATTACTTTTACTGTCAGAACTTTGAAGAGTGCTTCATTAAACGCCACTGGCTGCTTCTGGTTCTTTGCACTCTTTCAGCAGCACTGTAATCTCTTATGCCTTCATTAGTTTGCTTCTTAGGATCGCTCAACTTTCCTCGACATAAGTAGACTTTGACATTGCCTACCCCCAGTGCTCTCCACTCACTAGATTTCTTCAGTCTTCCCACTTTGCTTTCTCACACCCAACGTCCTTGGCTTGCTGCGTTTGGCAAATCCAAAGGGTACTTCCATGATATTTTTCTAGTTTCCTGGGAGATATTATTATCCCTGTTTACACATGAAAATCTGAGGCACGAAGCAGCCAAAGGATTTGCCCAGCATTAGAAAGCGAATCAATGCTAGAGTTGAGAGTAGAACACGAGCTGTGGCACCCAAGCTTGTACACTAACCACAGGATAAGGCTCCTGCCATTCCAGAACCATGCACACCACCACAGTAACAGAGGGAAGATTTTCAAATAATTTATTAGGAATTTAAAACTGAAATCTGGAAAAAGGGTTACAGGTGTGGAGAGAACAAACTTCGGAGTGTAATAACTTACTGGCTTAAAAACACAGCTTTATTTCTTTAAAAAAAATGCCCACCCTGAAACCAGAGCGCCCCTGCTCCCAGGCAGTGGCAACACTTGCCATAGAGCGACTCGCAGCCCAGCAGCAGTGTGGCTGGGCTGTGCGTGTCTGGAGGGGCACAAGGAAGCAGTTCAGCGCATGTACCAAGAGGGAGGAAAGCGCTGTCTGCAGACCCAAATTTGAAGTATATAGAATAAAAATAAACCCAATAAAATGCAGCTCTTCTTTAATTAGGAAATATTTAAAAAAACAGACATACAGACTCTTGTCTCAGTAACAAAAATTATTGCTTTGTGTTTTCAGTACTAAACCATTAAGTACCTCTTGCCTAAAGCAAAACTCTCCAAATGTATCGCCAGGTCAGGCAGGGCCCCACTGCTGGGACTCAGTACAAGCCATGAGGCAGTGGGGGTGGGAAGAAGGATGAAAGTGAAGGAAGGGAGGGACCCATTTGGGCTGTGTGGCCCTTCTCCCTTACTGGGGCTCAGTTTGGGGGATGAGAGGGAATGATATTTAAAACTTAAGATGAAGCAGCATTATTTCCCTGGGAAAGTGTTGGGCTGCATCTTAATGAAAGGCTTAATCACCCCCCTAAACAAGGTCTTTGGTTCACTTAAATCCAGACCCAAACCTGCCCCTTAAATTCCTGCAGGAGCCTCCCCTGAGCACAGACCTCTTGTTATTGAGAGCCTGGGCCACTTGGGGGGGAAGTCCCAACAGTCTGAAGAACGGACCAGATCATCCAAGTACAGGACAGAGGACAAACTCCCACAGACTTCGGAACAGAGTAAAGCAAATGGGAAGCTGTGATTCTTTAATTCATATGATCCCTGAGAAGCCCTTAACCCGCCCCAAATCACCACCCTAATGCTTTTCTCCCAAGCTAATCACACCCCAACCCACTGCCCTGCCCTTCAGAGTACAACCACCCCAATATCCCACCCCCCCAGACAACACTCCTTCCGAACACCCTAACCCCTAGAAGAAGATCCTCTTCTCCCAGAAACCTTGACACAGGCGATAATATTTGGAGAGTCAATTCCTTTCAAAGTAACCAAGACAAGCAGTGGCGGTAAAGCCCTTTGCCTAAGCCAAACCAGATGCTGGCACTACAGGAGCCCAATGAGGGAGTCTGTACATCGAGCAATTGGAAGCAGCTTTAACCCGCTCAGCAAAACAGCCGATGGCTGGTAAGTGTCATTCCCCCCCACTCCATTTCATCAGAGGTCTTAAAATCTTACAGTAAAAGGTGTAGAAAAAAGAAAGGAGTCCTGTCAGGATTCTGCTGGAGAATATTGCTCACGCTGAGGTGCCAAGTCCAGGAACCTGGAGCTGCTCCTTAGAGGCAGGCTGCAGCCTCAAGCCAGGTTCACCTCACAGTATTTACATATTATACAGGAGGAAAAAGAAAACCCCACGTAAAACTAACCCTAGGAAAACAAAACTTCTTTCAGCCATAAGGATAGTGTTTTCTCACTTAGCAAAATATACATTTGTTTTGTTCCGTAGCGATGTCCCACATTTCTGGATCCTTGGAGTTTCGCATGTTTCAAAGCCTCACATTTACAAAACAGAAACAATTAAAAACAGTTTCTTTTAAAAAAAAAAGAAAAGAAATGTATCAGTTCCTCTCAGCCTTCGCTCTGTCTCTCTCTCTTCCCTTCCGAACTGCATTCACGTTACTTACTGTCCTTTAAAAACGCTGACAACACAACAACAGAGTCGAAAATATTCAAAACAATTTCAAAGTGAAATAAAAATACTCCTCAATAAAAACTACCTAACACAATCACAAAGCCAATTCATAAAATGTGTCTACTAGCTCAGGAAAGAGCAAACAAAAGGAGGGACCCCCCCCCCAAACGATAAAGATAAAAAAATAAAATAAAAAAATAAAACTAACAGCTAATAAAATAAATAAAAGAAGAATCGGTGGGTTGGGGGCTTGGGGAGGGAGAAGCGTAAACCGTCGGTGGTTAGTAAGAAAGCGAGATGATCTCCTTAGGTTCAGTCCAGTGCGGTCTGGTCAATGGGAGAGATCAGGGCAGGTCAGCAGGAGCCTGGCAGCCGGCTGGCAGTGTGCAGTTTTACTCAACAAAAAGGAAACCTTGGCTCATCCCCCCAAGGCTCACCAGATCCTCCAGCCTGCTGTCCTCGGTTAGGTCACTGGGGAATCTGCAGGAGACCAGCAGGGGTGGGGTGGAGGGGGGGACAGAAATAAACAACTAACAGCCTGTCATTTTTGTATCCTGTCTGATATAATTTCAGGGGGTGCCAAAAAGCTTTCCCTAGTACAGGGTTGTTTTGTCACCTTGGTAGAAGCATAATGGTTTCACCTCACTGGCATGGAAATGGGGCAGAACACAAAACACCCCAATTTACAATATTATGAAGATGTGGACCAAAGAGACAAGCACCACATACAATGTGGCCTGGCTAGTTGGAGTCTGTCATCTGCACTAGAAGAGTGGAACTCCATCAGCATACTAAGATGGCAAGAGCAGAGGTTTCCAGGGAACAGAGGCATTTTTTTTTTTTTAACTAACACATTTCTGCCCCTTTTGAGGTGCCCCGATGCTATCCAACACTCCCTTTCACTTCCTTCAAAGGGAGAAAAGTGAAAGTGTACAAGATTGCCCCTGCCCCTGCCTCAGTTGAAGAAGCTCCAGCCCAGAGATTCAATGCTCTCAGCAGAAGTGGGACTTCTGGAGTACAAGAAGCACCCCCCTGCATACAGCTAGCTGAAGAAAAAGGATGGGAGGGACTTATCTCAGGGCTGCCAGCATGAGAGCTCATACCAGCCCATGATTTTGGTCACCTGCTCATTTTGCCTCTTTCCATCAACCTTCCCTATTTCTAAACATTTCCTGGGGCCCTATAATTTTCTCCTGCTTTACTCTCTTCTAACCTCAAGCTTCCTACTCCCCATGCCAGTGCTAAGTTACAGCCACTATTCCATGAGATGTAAGAGAACTGCATGAGAGAACTCCCTTTAGAGCCCAACAGTACTCTTCGACTGACAAGATAAGCAAAATCCATTTCCTTTCCCTTCCCACCCCAACTCAAATGTGATGCTTCTGCAGCACTTCCAGTCTGGTTCTGATTCTTGGTTCCAATTTGACAGGCTTGATGGCACAGAATCCATCTACCAGACTGGCCTCTGAGCTCTCCTATTCAGCTGCATCCCCTAAAGTTTGGGCTAAAAAATCAGAGACCTCTCAGTGCAAGACTAAACAAGGCAAGCAGAGGGAAAAATCCTCTTCCCCAGGGGTTCATATGCACAACAGACTATTCCAGAACTTCATTCCTCTTGCTCAAGTTCCCACTGTCCCCCTCACCTACTTGAAGATCTTACCTCCTGCTCCTTGGTCCCCAGCTTCAGTGGTACCCATTGGTAAAAGCTGTTGCAATCAAGGGACCCTGCAAAAAATTCAAACCTGATAGTTTAGCAAACAAAGCTAAAGGATGCAAGTCCCATACACAATTTCAGCATCCTTCTCTCCCCCTCTGAAGTGCTCCCCCTGAAAATACTCTCTACACCTTAACTATAAAACTAGAATCCTTCAGCCCCTCAACCCACTGTAAGAGGACTCCTCAGCACCTAGATTCATATGAAGTCATATAGCTTTTGTACCTTCTAAAGGTGTGCTATTCCCCACCCAAAGATAATATCCAGTCACTAGACCTTCTCTTAACATTTCCTTAGAAAAGTCATATGGCCTTATTTTCCTCCAGCTATTGCCTCACTCTATGGTTTGAACATAGGGAAATGTGCTGGTGGCCAATATTTGTTATATTCCACCCTCACTGTCACTCTATCCACTCAGCCATTGTCACTGAGGACCTATACACCTTCCATGCTGTACATGCTTCCACATTTCATTCTGAAGGTGGGGAGGGTCACAGTCATCTGAACTCTTGCTGCAGTGAGTTCAGCACAGCCTACCTGCTGAGAAAGCTCTTCAGCCCTCAAGGTATCAGTTCCATCTGCCCAGGGGAACTTGGCTGTCTTGGTATGTCTCAATCAACATAAGTGAGTGAGGCCCTTGGAGACTCTGGGCCAGTTCTATGGTGGGCTTTAATGATTAGGACCCAGACTGGTGTTCAAAGGGGAAACAATGTGGAGAGCAGAGCTCCAGGATGATGCTCTCAATGGCCTGTACTCAAAGTGCCTTATTCTACACAAAAGGGGCCTTTTTAAGATCAGTGACTTCAGGCCAAGGAATAGTAAACAGCAATGCCAAGCCAAGGGGTCACTGAAGTCCTAGTGGCTGCATTGGAATGCGATCTCCTGACCAAACAGCTGTAGGTGAGCCAGAGTTTTCTGCAACTGGCATCATTTAGGTTTTCCCCTCAGGTACCAACATCCCCAAGTGCTTCCAGAGGTGCACCTCCACTCTGAGAACCTGCTTTCTTCTCTAGGCTTCCTACCTGCTGTCCTCAACAGCTGGATACAGAACACTCACCCCTAGGCTGTGGCCAAAGCCAGTACTTGGGGCTGGACTGGCAGCACTGATGTAACTGCTGACCCCTGAATCCTGATTGGCTGCTCCGTAAAGCTCTGCCATTGGTCCAGGACTGGTAGTGCCCAGAAACCCACCAGTACGGCTTGGAGTAGAGCCTACAGGAGGAAACAAAACTACACAGTGACAACCCCAAAGTACAGCCCTGCCCCACCCCTGCTTGTAGCCCAGTGCAGACCTCCTCTAATAGGACACGTCACTGGGTAGGAAAGTAGCAGTTACCTGTCCCTCGCACTACAGCTGCTGCAGCCGCTGCCGCTGCCATTGGTCCATACGCAGTGAGGGGAATTGCTGAAAGAGAAGTAACAGGCATCTCATAGTGGCACTATGACTCTGAGAGAAGATCCTGGGCAAGAATCTTCATTTCCCTCTAGGAAATACAGCAGCAAAAAAGGTGCATTAGCCTGACATGTTACCCTTTACATCCAGAGTGATAAGGGGAAGGGAGCACCCAGCCCTGCACTGAGAGGAATCCATTCATGCAGCAAAACCCCAGAGTGCCTGAGCTTACAGATGCCACACGGAGGAAACTCATTCATCAGTGAAATGCAGCGACATCCAGGTGGACCCAGCAGCTCGGCACTGTTAATAGTCACACTACACAGCAGCTTAGGAAAGGAAGTGGCAGAGAATCCCACAGCCAACAGAACTGGAAAGGGGAAGCTTAGGATGACCCTGTATAACGACTTGATTGGTAACTGACTCCAACCTTAAGGCTGACACTCCAGCTCTTGGGATTTTTAATGGCCACAAGCAAGGTTTTACATCTCATCCAAAAAAGGGGACCTTAGCATTCCCTAGCCACGCTGCGACACAGCACCTGCCTCTAGCACCATTTTGGGGGATAACGGTTTCACCCTTGACAATCTTCTCTACCCCAGCTCCAGACATGCAATCCTCCCTTCTTTTCCAACATGCAAACTCAGACCAAGCTGTCAACAGTAAGTGTGAAGCATATTCTTGGTTGTGCAAGAATCAGAAGAAATCTTAACTTATATATAACAAACTTAGTCCCCATTCCTACTACCACGGGCATCCAGCCCTTAGGTCACAAAGCACGTAGTGTAGCCAGAATGTTTTTTTCTGCCCTTAAAATGACTGTTTCATGACTGAATGTGAAATCCACTGCAATTTTGTTTAGAGCAGCATAAAAAGAGGTCAGAACAAATCAATTGAGTTAAAGGCCTGAAATCCAGACTAGCTCAGAAGGGAATATTTAGCAGCAGGTTCTGTCCTGTTTCATGCATATGTCATATTGGGGCTTATATTTGGGTTAGTTGCTTATTATAGGTACTTGGCCAGCATAAGCACACCACTGCCATCTGATTGCTCCCAAAGATGCCATTCTGGTAAAGAAAGAGCTGATCACACCAAACCCATCTCTCTGACACCATTGCTGCTGGAAGCCACTAATACATATCTGAATTAATAAATACAGCCATCACCAGGAAGGGAGCCAGTTCTGCTCAGAGATAATTCCATTCTCTCTTTAGAGGAAAAAATCCAAAATGCAAACAGAAGAGCCATTTTTGCCTTGTAATTTATCCACTTAGGAACCAGATTTTTGCCTTGTCAGTGATGTACCCTCCTTTAGCTCCTTCACCTTAGGTACTCATCACCCTGCCTGGGTCAATTCCATTTGACAAACCCATGCGGAAGACAGATAAGTTTACATTTACACAACCACCTCCAGCCAGAAAGATCCTTTACGATTTTCAGCCTACTACTGAATGTTCTCAGTTCCCACTGATGTCTAGGGACAGAGGGGATAGAGCATTTTGCAGAGGCACAGGAATCTCATCACTCACCACTGACACAAAGCTGCACAGAACCTGTTTACAGCACACAACAATGGGGTACAACAAGAAGCAAAGAATGTTGTTAAATTCAAGGGCAAGTTTGAGGGACAGAATTTGAGGTATTTTAGATATGGACACTAACTATTCAAAATGGCATTTAGCCAGGACAGCAGGGGTTAACAGTACATTGGTATATAAAGGCCCAGTCTCTCTCTCAAAGTAGGCAGGTCTAGTACCCTGCTGCAACACTGGTTCTGTATAATCTGAGAGGAAACAGTGCCATCTACTGACACCAGCACCCCCCTGTTTTTTCATTGGAGGTCACACATTCAAGGACAGACCCAGTCCACTTCTTAATTTGAGAACAAATAGGAAGGATGACAGATGGAGGTAGTACATCCAAGGCTTACACAGCTACTTCCTTGGCCCTGGGGACTAGCTTTATTAAAAAGGGACAAGACTTAATCTTCCTCATCTCCCTTGGGGTCATTTGTTTTGTTTGTGGGTGAAAAAAGGCAAGTGTTTTTATCAGCCTCTGTGTCCTCTGAAGTATTGCTTCTATTAGCAGTGTAGCGAGTCATGAAAAACCCTCTTTCCAGGCGTCCGCAAAACAAGTGCATTTAGAAAAGCTTCCAGAGAACTCCCTGTATCCTCATTAGAGATAAATCCAAACCTTGAAGCAGCAGGTGGAGTCATGGAAATATTAGAGAGAAAGGATGTCGTGGAAGATGAGATGGTGCACAGGGAACATGACACTAGCCCATCAGCTACCTAGAGCTGCTTTTCTAAGATAGGTACTGAAAGTGCAACAGAGCTTGGGAAACTGTGACCATGGAAGGAAGAGTCTAAGGAAGGAACATCATTAAGAATACATGCTAGACAAAGTTAGAGGTCTGAGGAACTGGAGGGAAGAGATAGTTGTTATACTTTGATGAAATATTACGGTCATAAGTAGTCCTCATGACCAGTGCTACAATCCCATTCCCTACAGCTATGATCAAAGAGTTTGGCTTTGAGCTCCCTCCCACGCAATGTTCCTATAGCATTCCCTGCCTAGTAAACCTGGGATCAGAGTAGCTGTGAGCTGCATAATATCCACAACTCTCCTATCCATCATATCCCTACAC